AAACAGTTCAGGGCCGGCTGTGGCCATTTGGTTTTAAGTGGAAACTGCCTCTTTAAATTTCGAGGAGATCTGTGCACACACGTAGTAGATCCCTCTGAGGGTGGGGCTGGGGTGTCCACTAGTTCAGGCATCCTCTATAGTTACCAGAATGGAGGTGCGCAGACAGCAAGGAACCAATGAACAGATACCAAAAGAAAAGAATGACCACACCTTTATCTCTGCGGTTCTGTCAGGTGTCCGTAGCTGCTCTGATTCTTCCTCCGCTTGGTTTCACCCAAGGTGGTGGCTCCTAGAGCAGCTGAGCATCTTGAATTAGAAACAAATGGATTTCTTACTTCTGCTACAAATTCCCCTAGTTGTAAGCTTTCCAACCTTCTAAATAATCCTTTATATGTGGTTCAGAGTTCTGGCACCATCCCTTGAGCCTGCTTGGTCTTGTATTCTGTGTTGTTGCTGACAGAGCACCTTACTGCATTTCCACTTGATCCGCCATCTTCTTCTTCCAATATTATCTGATTTTTACTACGACTTCTTTTTATTATGGATTGCTTAGAAGTTTGCTTTTGAAGTTTCTAAATATATGATATTTTTCATGTGATCTTTTATATTTTGATTCTTGGTTAAGTAATATGGTCCTTATAATTCTGATTTTTTGGTATTTATAAATCGTTACTTGACCTAGTATATTGTCGATTTTCATTAAAGTTCTGTGTGTGCTTGAAAAACATGCATTCTCCAGTTGTTTAGGCGAAAGCTTATTTGTTAAGCGTATTGTTTAAATCTTTTACATCCTTATTCAATTTGTTATTGAGCTGTTAGTTATTGAGAAAGATGGGTTGAAAACTCTTTATAAAGTTTCACCATATACATTTTGAAGTAGTGCTATTAATTGGGTGCATATGAGTTTAAAATTGTTTAGTCTTTTTGGAGAATTGAAACAGTCATCAATAATACTTATACAGTGACTTTGCTGGGTTTGGAAACCTTCTTCTCTCTAGTAGTGTAAACAATTTTCTGTTTATTTAGAGGCCATGCTGGAAATTAGACCTTTATTATTTAGCCCCATACCTTTCATATTTAATTAATTTATAAATAGTTTATACTCAACTAGTAACAATATTGATAAATATTTAACTAGTTCATAAATGAATCTTTACTAGTCCAGTTTATAAACTAATACTGATAACCAGATGCTTTAATTTAGTCAGCCCCCCATTATGACTTGAAAGCTCCTTTTATCATTTATTTCAGTTTTCTTTTGTTAACCTCACAAATTAAATATTAATAGTGGTGGTTGTATGCCATTGAGTCGATTCTGACTCATAAGTGATTTTGTATAGGGTTTCTAAGGCTTTATAAATCTTTACAGGAGCAGAAAACCTCATTTATTTACCTTTTTGCTACTGTTAGGAAGACCCCCCATTGAGATGGATTGGCAAAGTGGCAGTGTTAGTGGGCTGAAGCGTGGCAACAATTGTGAGGTTGGCCCAGGACCGGGCAGTGTTTTATTCTGTTGTGCATAGGGTCGCTATGTGTCGGTACCAACAACAACATGATTGAAACTGTTAATTGCAAGATATTAAAAGATACAGGCAAGCATCATCGTATTTCATTTTTAAAGAATAACAACAACTAGTTCCCAGTTAGCAACCCGGCTCGTAATCTGCTATACTACCGGGCTTTTTATGGAGTCCTGATATGATGCTGTAGGGGAAGCCCTCAAATGAACTGTTGGTTTGAACTGTAAGGTTGGTGGTTCAAACTCACCAGCTGCTCCTCGGAAACACTGTAAGGTTG